ACATATAAAGGCGGATAAGTGCATTAACTTATTTTTAGACAGACCGAATCACTTTACCTCTCGTCAAGATGCATAGATTTAGCGTATATATATATATGCAGATAACAGTTGGATCTCGAAGACTGTCTTGGTTTATAATTGTTGGGCCTATTTCCATTTCGAGTAAAAGTGTTTGGCGAAGAGCTTCAACGTTTGATCCCACCAAAAGATGACGCTAATTCCTTTAGGAATAAGTCGGTTAATTGGCCTGAATGCGATTGTAAGAATGGCACCCGGCCCTGATGATGCCCGTCATATGACGGACGGAAGCTCAGCATGTTTTCATTGTAATCAAGGAAGAGTGCCTCATAAATAGATAGCATCAACAAGAATGTTCCAGTACAGCCACTCTACGGCTAATCAAGGGAGAACCAACCTTCCAATATCGTCATCATACACTTTCACTCAAAGATGGAGGTGAACAATCCATTTGAGAATTAAGAGATGCCTGGAATCTCTCTATTTCTGAAAGGTTCCTGCAAGCCCAATCGACAACTGACCAAGAGGTTACCTTGGTTGTCTGCTTGTATGATCCACCATAGAATCTTCACATCTCGTACTTTCAATAGAAGTGGAGGTAGGTTCCCAAATTGGGAACCAATATATCCCATAAACTCAATATTTTTAGAAGACTCCAGTACGATCAACCGACATCGATTTAAGAGGAATCTGCCAACGTCTTCTGGCGAGACCGACCTTCAAATTTATTCATCACACCCATTTCCTCGAAACGGAAGTCTCCAGCGTCGGGACATGCACATGGGCCTACTGGGAAACCGCATGACTGTGGGCATGGTAGAGGACTCCGGTCCATTTCGGTCGTCCTGGCAACACGACTAAGTTGTGAAAGCGGTCGAGACATAAGAACGCCGTATGTACGGTAGAGCTCTAGCAACTGCTCCAGTATCACTTCGTTATGAGGAAGACATCAACTTTAGTCACCCCTTTTAGTCGGTACCAGACGCTTTCCCTCTTAACGGCGTCAGTCTGTTTGGGTCTTCTTGTCGTGTTCCAGGGCGGCACGGGTCTGCTGCACAACTACCAGACTCGCCTGCAGAATGTGATGGCCTCGATGACTTGGCCCAACTCATCCTTCCTCGATGAGGCCTCGGAGCACGTCTGGCGTCCGGACGGCGTCGCGACCGGCTGGTCGAGTGGCCGGGACCAGCAGACCTCGAGGCCGCAATCAGAGTCTGCGGCAGCGGATGATGAAGAATCGAGGCGGTGCCGTCTGAGCTGCGGCGGACTGTCGCAGACGAGCAGTGGCGCCGGCTCCCTCAACCGGCTCGGCTGGCGGCCCAGCGGCCCGCAGTCTGCCGGCGTCTCTCGGTCCGGCTCTCGGGACCACGTACCCCACGGCTTTGGTACCCCCGCCGCCTCCTCCTCCCCGCTCGCCTACACCAGCCTCTCCGCCCTCTCCGGCCTCTCCGGCCTCTCCGGCTGGTCCGGCCTCGAGATCGGCTGCGTATCGGGCCGCAGCGACGTCCGGCCCAGCCTCAGCATGGACGCACTGGCCAGCTCCATGGTTACCGACGGGACTCGCTGCCAAGTCGGACGAATGACCAGCAGCCTCGGGCTCCACTCCGCCCCCTTTAGACACGCCGGCTCATCGCTCTCCGCCTCCTCGGCCTCCAGCTTCGCCTGGCCCGGCCAAGTCCTGAGCCCGAGTCCCGCTCCGGCTTCGCTGGCGGATCCGACTCTGGCCAAGCGCGCTTCTGGCCGT